TTTTTTCCCAGGCCTGGAAAAAGCAAAAGGCTCAGACTTCCAATTTGCTTCAGATTTCCAATTTGCTTTTTCCCAACCCGGGAAAAAGCAATCGGAAGTCTGAAGAGCAATTGTTCTTGCAGCGTGGCCAGGTCACCAACATGACTTGCGCAGACCTTTCGCAGGACCTTCGCGAACCTTTCGCGACTGCAGTGAGAGCACACTCGAAATCAGCATTTGAAATTCGATCACTAACAAGGAAGAGGTGGGTTTTTGAACGACGCTCATGTGTGTACCACACATCAATATGGCAATTATACAATACAGGTACTCCATGTTAAATCGATTTGAGAGTCACCACAGTACACCCTAGGCTTCCAACAACCATTAATTTAATATGCTTTACCGAATCAACTAAGGATTTTACACTACAAAAACCAGGTCAAACATGTTTTAAATGGTCTTGGAAGTCTAGGGTACAGTTTTGATGCTTAACTGGTCCGTTCCTCTTTTCCCCAAGACGTCCTTCCCCACCACCGGAGCAGCCTCTTCAGTGCCCGGCCACGAGGGTAAGCGCTGTAGATCGAGGAGGCACGGGAACAGCTGCCCTGCAGTAGGGCAAAAGCATTGTTGGAGGCCATCGCTACTAGGTTGGGAAAGTGTATTATGTAGGTTGGAGGCCATCGCTACTAGGTTGGAGGCCACGGTAGTAAAAGACCATGTGTTACAAAAGCATGAAAATTGGACCATTTCTCGGACCACCGGATTTGATCCAGCGATCTCCAGTGTTTCTGGCTTCGAATCTTCTTGCAAAACGATGAGCGAAACGGTTGGCCAAACTCGGCTCTCTTGACCGAAAACATGACCTCACCCTCTCAGTCACCCTCTTAGTCCATCAATCTCTCTCTCTCTCACTTCTGAAGAACTCCTGGGTTTTCTTTCATGCAGATCACACGTCCTTTATCAGATCCGGATTTGGAGCTCGGATACGGCAATCACTTCTGTTTAGAACTCCTGGGTTCCTCTTTCACGCAGATCCGGATCAACCCGAGTTTCTGAACGTTGTTTCTCATCCGAACATCCTTGCTTCTTCAAACGCCAACGAAGTGTTCGGATGTCCAAGCTTTGAGGTGCGTCTCGGTCGGTGTTCATATTAGAGACACGAGTGACGAGTCTGGGTTTTTCTAAATTTCTAATATCCACACCTTTACAATCCGAAAAAAAAAAAAAAAAACATCTGAAAACACAAGTCTTCTATAAGTTAGATGCTCAATGTCACAAGCGTGAATGAGATGGCGATACCAGAAAAAAAAAACAAAAAAACAAAAAACAACAAGCAGTCAAACAGGAACCTTGCTTCCATACAAGTCTCATTCACTTCGCTTGTCCTAGCCTTTGCAAGATCTCCTTTTCTTGATCTAATTCTTGTTTCTAATAGCTTCCTTGCTCCTAGTAGTAAGGCACTTGTTACTAGTAGCGATGCACTTGTTACTAGTAGCTTCTTGTTTGCCATTCCGTGGTGTTTTTGGGTCCTCGGTCGGTTGGACAACGCCTCCTGAGCCCTCCCGACGCCTCGCTATCCACGTCCAGCTGCAGCTCCTGGAGTCGAAAGACCATGCGAAGCCATGAAAAGGCCACTTGGACTTGAGTCCTCCAAGCTAAGAGCCAAAGGATACCTAGTAGATGGCCTCCAACCTACTAGCTGATGGCCTCCAACCACTTGGACTTCTGGATGGTGTTTTCCATGGTCTTTTCCATGGTGGATGATAGGGGTCCCTTATGGTTCCTTCAGTTGAGAACACACACCGTTCATACGAAGAGATCAACTGATCCCTCATGTCCCGTCACCTCGACAGATCCGGAACCCGGACCAGGCGACTCAATCCCTCTTCACCGGTCCTTTGCACGGTGGAGAGTTTTCAAGCGCTCCGATCCACCAAGGAGAGACCGGTTGACCAACGAAACCGAAGAGACCGCAACATGCGCAACGCTTAGCGCAAAAAGCGCTGAAGCTGATTGGCCCTCTTGGGACCACCCCATATTTGGGGGGTCCTTTTCCTCAAAACAGAGGTCATGTCTGGGTTCCAGGCAATATATCATCTCAAACAGATTCAAACAGAATCATCTCAATACCCCCGGGAGTCGCCAGAGTCGGCGAGTTCGTTCGTTCGTTCGTTGTACTCTCTTGTTCTTGTGGGTTGCAGGTTTGGAGGAGATGCTCCGTGTGAGAGCCCGGTGTGTGAGCCCGGCTGAAACAAAGATCCTTTGACCTCATTTGGACATTGAACTCTCAAGTAGACAAAGAACATCACTTGAAGAAACATTGAACTCTTTCCTGACATAATTTCATTGAACTCTTTGCTGGGACAGCTCTTTCACATTGGGACAGAACTCGTGTCTGAGAGTCCCCGCTTCTCCAGGAGAGGTCACACCATCCGAGCCCTGGCCGAGACGGTCAATACGACCAGAATCGGAGGTGCGATGCGGGCGATGGATGCGGGTGGTGTGGAAAGCACTGTCACGACATGGAAATCAGAAATTCACATGGTGGTCTGCATGCCAACATCCGGAACACCGCCGGAGCTCACAAAACATCCGGAACATCGCCGCTGCGTCCTTCGATGGTTTTTCTCCCCCTTGGTCGAAGAATCTCCATGTCACATGTCTCAAAACTCGTTGGGCGAACTCCATCACAGCCATCCAACGTCTGACCGGCACCATAGGCACCACACTCGCTGACCTGGCACGTTCGGGATTGGAACCGTCCCAGGCTCGTCACAGCCGAGTCTCAAATGAGGAACATCAGAACATCAGTATATATATATATATATTAGATAGGTCGACTGTGAAATAGAACGTCAGGAGGTGCAAGAAATTGAAAAAACAAACTTCCGTGTGTTGCGAGTTTCCAGGGGCTCTCTTCTGGGTTTTGTCCAATGTTCTTCCCATGGCCCCACCTGCCGGCAAGCCAGCTGTGCCATGGGTATCATGCGGGTTTGGGGGGCCCAAAAGCCAAGCCTCGGCAGCTCGGGAGCCTGCCCTTTTCTCCGATCAGCGGTGCGTTTCTAGGACATCTGTACATTGAAGTTGGACCCAAACGCAACGCGATGGCTTTGCAACGGGCTTCGCTCTTCTGTGCAGGAAATCGCTCGGGAAGCACTAGCAACGAAGGAGTGGCGATGTGTTCAACGTCAAGGCTAAACAACGAAAAGACTTCCGCTTCGAAGGCACTGGGATGGCTCTGTTCTTCCCGGGCGCTGAAAATCTCGGCATAAGTGATAAAGGGGGGCAGAGCTGTGGCGTGTGCACAATCTCCACTTTCTGTAATCTCAAGATCAGCTTCCGGCGTCCTCTCCGACCGTTCACAAAAATTCAACCCGTTGGCTCAACTTCGGTGTGACAAAGAAAGCACGAAACCGTCCGGCGAAAATGGCGGAAGCTGATGTTTCACGTTGGCCCGGCTTGGCTTGCGGGTGCAACGGCTCTGATTCGTGCCGAGAGCCACAACTTCTGTGCTGGAGCCCTGATGGGCAGATTGAATTCAACTCATGGGTCTTCCACGGGTTCAGCGAGATCTTTCGGCGGGCATGCCCTGATGAAATGCAAACCATCTGATGATAGCAACATTCACTCGGCTCTGCATCACATTTCGCAATTTCAGGCACATCATGCACATCGAAACATCATGTAATTATGGATAAATCATAAATCCAATCTCAGGAAGATGACATGAGGCAAGTCTTTTCGGACCTGCAAGCAAACAGCCGGAGCAAGCACACAAATGCTGCATGTGAGAGAACCAAATTATTTACATATCTAACAATATAGGCATACAGAATGCTTCTGCCATTGCTCTAGTTTCTCTTCGTTGTTGGCTCAGTCCAGTTCGTCTAGAGCCACCCAGAGGTTTCGTGCGATCCAAAACCAAACCTGTAACAAGAAGCTACGAACGGGGGCTCCTGGCCTTACTACGAACGGAGCAGTTCGGGCATCGCTACGAACGGAGCGGTTCGGGCACGCCTCCAAAGGTACCGGAAGCGCTGGCAGGCGGCCGGCGACATGCCCAGCTTGCTGTTGATGGAGTCCAAGAGATCCGCCACCTGGTCGATCTGTCGAAGTAGCTTCGAGGCCATCGCTAGTAGTAGGTTGGAGGCCATTGCTCTCTAGTATGACAAGAAGCTAGTAGGTTGGAGGCCATCACTAGTAGGTTGTCACTAGTAGGTTGCAAGCCATCGCTCTTAGGTTCGAGGCCATCGCTACATAGGTTGGAGGCCATTGCTCTCTAGTATGACAAGAAGCTAGTAGGTTGGAGGCCATCACTAGTCGGTTGTCACTAGTAGGTTGCAAGCCATCGCTCTTAGGTTCGAGGCCATCGCTACATAGGTTGGAGGCCATTGCTCTCTAGTATGACAAGAAGCTAGTAGGTTGGAGGCCATCACTAGTAGGTTGTCACTAGTAGGTTGCAAGCCATCGCTCTTAGGTTCGAGGCCATCGCTACATAGGTTGAAGGCCATTGCTCTAGTATGACAAGAAGCTAGTATGTTGGAGGCCATCACTAGTAGGTTGCAGGCCATCGCTCTTAGGTTCGAGGCCATCACTACATAGGTTGGAGGCAATGAGGCCATTGCTCTCTAGGATGACAAGAAGCTAGTAGGTTGGAGGCCATCACTAGTCGGTTGTCACTAGTAGGTTGCAAGCCATCGCTCTTAGGTTCGAGGCCATCGCTAAATAGGTTGGAGGCCATTGCTCTCTAGTATGTCAAGAAGCCAGCAGGTTGGAGGCCATCACTAGTAGGTTGGAGGCCATCGCTACGAGGTTGGAGGCTATTGCTCTAGTATATCAAGAATGCTAGTAGGTTGGAGGCCATCGCTAGTAGGTTGCAGGCCATCGCTCTTAGGTTGGAGGCCATCGCTACTAGGTTGGAGGCCATTGCACTAGTATAAAAGGAAGCTAGTAAGTTGGAGGCCATCACTGGTAGGTTGCAGGCCATCGCTCTTAGGTTCGAGGCCATCGCTACTAGGTTGGACGCCATTGCTCTCTAGCATGACAAGAAGCTAATAGGTTGGAGGCCATCACTAGTAGGTTTCGAGGCCATCGCTACTAGGTTGGAAGCCATTGCTCTAGTATAACAAGAAGCTAGTAGGTTGGAGGCCATCACTAGTAGGTTGCAGGCCATCGCTCTAAGGATTGAGGCCATGGCTACGAGGTTGGAGGCCATTGCTCTCTAGTATGACAAGAAGCTAGTAGGTTGGAGGCCATCACTAGTAGGTTGCAGGTCGGCCATTGCTACTAGGTTGCAGGCCATGGCTAGTAGGTTAGGTTGGATTCCATCGCTAGTGGGTTGGAGGCCATCGCTATGGAGGCCATTGCTGGCCATTGCTACTAGGTTGGAGGCCATCGCTAGCAGGTTGGAGGCCATTGCTACTAGGTTGGAGGCCATTGCTAGCAGGTT